GCCCAGTTAAGGTATCTTAGTCAAAAATTACTAAAACCTTTAATAGGATACTGTACCTACCTGCTTTTCAGTCAAACTTGAATCATGAAATAGAATATCTAGTTTAAAATATTATGCACATTGCCTTTTCCACACTAACGTGAATATATTGTACAAGTTCAACAGAACATAATAAATAGCATGAAGATAATTTCTAACTTTTTAGAGTATCTTCACACTAAATGTACCAAGTAACAAAAACTCTTAAAATTTAGATTCTTTTTAATAAAAGGAGCTAGACTGGTCTAAATAATTTAGATAAAATGCCCACCTAGAATAAGATTATAAAAGTTTCATGACTTTCAAGCCACAAAGTAATGAAGCAGCCAGGGGAAGCAAAACTGGCCATGGAAACACAGTCATGGTGAGGGAAAACCATAAAGAGCTCATTGGAAGTGGAGTAGATGTTATAGGTCTCTCTCTGCTTCTGTTCTACATAGCCATTAATATAGTTTAATACTGCCCTTCCGCAGATACAACAATTATTTTTGGAATATGAACATTTTAAGACAGAATTAACTTCTGCAGAGCCCTGTATTCTCAGGTATATAAACATTCCTGTCTTAAATATTTCCTCTCCTCTGCTTTATCTGCTGATTCTGGAGGACTTGGCATTGTTGCTGGCTCCTAAAAATGATCAAAATCAAGGCTGTTTTCAAGCAATCTCAAAAAGCATCCTTGCTCAAGGGACAAAAATGAATCTCTCTCACGTTCATCATGGTGGTCAAGTGAAGGTTGTCACTGGGTCCAAAGTTCCCGCTCAGGAGAAAAGAGAAGCAAGACACCCAGACAAAAAGATTTAAATCCATTGTACATCCTTTCCTCACTCACACACCCCACATACAGAAGTTAGTACCAAGCCATGAAAAACTGATGAGCCTTCATAGCTCTCACCAGCAGAAGATCTATGTCTTCTATTTCCCATGGCAGATGGTGGGTATATCCTAATCCCCTCCATGAAACAGAATTTCATCTCCTGTCTGATACAGAGTAGAGAGGGAAAAAAACAAGGTAAGTAGGCTTGGCAAAGTAGGAAGTGAAATTATTTTGATACTAAACAAATATTCACAATTTTGAGTAGATTTAGTAATTAACAGCACCTGTTTCCCTGATCATTATTTTCACTAATTATAAAATGTTTAAGGGAATTATTTCACATACTACACAGCTTGACACTTACAATTTCATAACAGAGAACCAGAAATATTTTAACGTTTTTCTGCACTAGTTCAATAGCATGATAAGTAATTAAGAGAGATAAATGAATGGAGCTGGTTTTCTTATGAGGCCATTCAGAAATACTGGTAGTGTAGCTTGATTGGGAACAGTACATTTCTAAGCTTTCTAATTCAGGTTTGCAAAATATTTTTTTGTTTGGGCCATCCTCATCAACCTTGGATCTATCCTTGATAGTGAAGAACTGCTGTCAAGGATAGATCCAAGGCTAGTGAGGACAGTGCCGTAACAGGCCCCAGTTTTGACTGGACACATAAGTAGTGAGGTCTTTGAGCTCACCTGCTTACACTGTGGCTCTGGAACTGAATGGGTGAACTCCACTGCTGCTCCCCTACACCCTTTGTATGAAACCAGGATAGCCCAGAGCTGTGTGACATGGTGGGCATCTCCCCGTGGCTTGATCTGTCTCAGGTATAACTGGGGCAGTTCAAGTCTCGCTGCTTTTTCCCCACTGTCCCTTGTTGAACCAGGGTGATCAGTGGGACCTGGCAGGAAGAGGAAGAGGGAGCGTTCCTCATAGCTTGACCCCTTCCATAGATACCTGGGATGGGTCCAGCCATGGGGGAATGTCCCCAGCCTTTGCATAGCCTTGTGTCATCCTCGTTCTGTACAAGAAGCAGCGGACATTCTTCTTGCCTAGAACTGGGGTGACAGTGACAACCAGTCAGGATTTTCACGTGGCAGCCAGCATTGTGAGCACAGCCATTTGCCTGCAGGCAGAAACCATGTCCTATCTCCCTGCAGGTGGCTGCAGGCTATGTTTGTCAGCACTGTGTTTGTCAGCATAATTTTATTTTCTGTCTGCTCTGGAATTTGTCAGGAGCCCAGCATGGCAGCCATGGCCACAAGGACAGCCCGAGTTCACCTAGCAGGGGGTGCAGGGCGAGGGGGCAGTTCAGTGTGCCCTGGGATGATGACCCTCTCACTGTATAAATAACATACCACACATTCAAACTAAAGAGCAATACAAATGAGCCACAAAAATGAGTAACAGCTTTGAGGCTGGTTTGCCATCTTTATCACATAAGAAATTGCTTGAACATGTGGCATGTTACAATTTACCATGCAATAAATGCAATGTCGGCCAGAGGCCATACGAAGCCGTTACTCATAAACATCCCCCTTTTGCTATCACCAGTGCAGCACCTTAATTGTTAGCAATGTGGGAGATGTAAGTATAGCTTATTCTTCAACTGTCAAGTTGTGTAAACAAATTTGTATTATTTCTACTAATTACTTAACATATATCTTAGAATAAGATAGATTTAGGAAAAATAAAGACTATACAATTAAATTCTGGCCCCAGTTAAGTTGATGAGAATTTTGCCATAGAGTCAGAATTTCACCCTATGGACTTTTTTCATAGTTTCATAGTTGTTAGGGTCGGAAGGGACCTCAATAGATCATCAAGTCTGACCCCCTGCCCTGGGCAGGAAAGAGCACTGGGGTCATATTACCCCAGTCAGGTGCTTGTCCAGTCTCCTCTTAATGACCCCCAAGGTAGGGGAGAGCACCACCTCTCTTGGAAGCCCATTCCAGATTCTGGCAACCCTTACCATAAAGAAGTTCTTCCTGATGTCCAGCTTAAATCTGCTGTCTGTCAATTTGTGGCCATTGTTCCTCATTATTCTAAGGGGTGCCCTGGTAAACAGAGCATCTCCAATTTCTTGCTGCCCCCCCCCCGATGAATTTGTAAACGGACACAAGATCCCCTCTCAGCCTTCTCTTGCAAAGGCTAAAGAGATCCAGGTCCCTCAGTCTCCCCTCACAGGCCCTTACCTGCAGGCCCCTAACCATGAGTGGCCCTCCTCTGCACCCTCTCAAGGTTATCCACATCTCTTGAAGTGAAGAACCCAGAACTGGGTACAGTACTCCAACTGCGGCCTGACAAATGCCACAGAGGGGAAGTATCACCTCCCTGGACCTGTTCATGATGCACTCTGCATGATAGCTTTACTGATCAACTTGTCACATTGATGGGTCATACTCATCTTGAAGTCAACTATGACTCCTAGATCCCTTTCTGCCACTGTGCTGCTGAGAAGGTCTATATGTGTGAGAAGGTGCTGCTGGGAAGCCTATAGGTGTGTTGGCAATTCCTTCTCCCTAGATGCAGCACTTTGCACTTGTCTTTGTTGAACTGCACCCTATTCTTTTCTGCCCATTTTTCCAACCATCCAGGTCCACCTGGATTTGATCCCTTCCCACTAGTGCGTTTACTTTACCCCATAATTTCATGTCATCCGCGATATTGGACAGAATGTTCTCCACACCCTCATCCGAGTCGCTGATGAAGACATTCAATAGCACAGGTCCAAGAACCAAGCATTGGGGGACCCCACTGCCCACATCTTTTCACCCTAAAGGACTACGGACTTGCACATAGATATGTATACTCAAGTGAGTAATCATCTTTAAAGTCAACAGGATGGCTCCCACAAGTAAAGTCACTTGTCTGTGTTTGAAGAACTGGCGCCTTGACTAGATAATGGGGCACAGTTATTTTGTGGAGTGATCTTGTGGCCCTTTTTCAGGCAAAATTTTAATTAAATCACTGAGAAGTTCTCGCTAAGGAACAACTGCTGGGAGAAATCTTGTTACAAGTGTATGTTAATAAAAGAGTGTCATTTAAAATTACCTTTAAAAAATAAAAGTTTCAGTTGGAGCTCTCAAATCTGTCATCTGCTAATCTTTAGGGAGCATTACATTTTGCCATACATCACAAAAATTGACATGCATGAAAAGCTGATGCCTGAAGTTATGCCATAAAAGTAAAATCTAATTTTCAAAGAGACAAAGAACTCACCACTTGTGTTTCTGTTAATCAAGATACCAGTCATGCACACTCAGTCCTTACTATCAGGAGGTGCAAACAGAGATTAGGGGCACAAAATAGGCAAGTGAATATTACCCTACAGAGGGAAACTGACAAAGAATAGTTCATTGCCATTTTGAACACTATGTACCTCATTTATTTATAGTATACTGCTACTAAAGTGAATTGGATAAAGTTAGCTCAATGACATTAAAGAGAAGTTACATGGTGGCATGGAGAGAAAAATAATTTGATCTTTCAGAACTACTTTAAAAACTCATGCAGCACCAGGTGCACAGCTGCCCTGTTGCTCCTCTCAGAAAATAATGGGCCAGACCTGCTCTGCAGAACCTTTGCTATGGCCAGCAGAGCCATGGTTTCCATGGCACTTCACAGCAGGGACTTTGCCAGCATTCTGCCAGTCATGTGCCTGGAGCTTTGGCAGAGGGGGAGCTCTCCCTGCACCATGCCACCCCACAGCCAGGTGGCACAGAGATGGAGGTGCCTGGGTCCCAGGGTATGCCTGTCTCAGAGCTGGGTCATTCCAGCCCCCTGCTGGAAAACACTGCTGACCCCTGGTATATAAAATAATCCCAGTAATCTGACCAGCAGAAATGCAGGAGAACCATGGATATATGCCCTAGGGCTCACACAGAGTTCTGATGTTAACCACTACAGCAGTTCTCTTTGTAGGATCAACAGTAGGATTATATTTTAAGCTTCAAATTTGGATTTTATATTATTTTTCTCTTAAAAATTAAATCCAGTAGGTCTACTATGTATGCTGCACATATATATACAGTTTTCAGGGAGAGAGATATATAGATATGCATACGCATGCATAGAATCCTAACCTGTTACAAGCGTCTATTGAAGACTAGGTCCTACCATATGGAATGCAATTTTTTTCTCTAATAAACCTTTTTTTTAAGTAAGACTTGCCCTACAGTTTACAATTTCAGTCTTTTCAGACAGAAAGTGCCCATCCTCCTCCCATACACATTAACCGTGGCATAGCAACATTGTAGAGACTTGTTCCTTAATCAAAAATATAGAATCACTTTATGAAAAATTGTAAAATATAATCTTGCATAAAAGCTATTTTGACAACCTAAGAACAAGCTACTGGGCAGCAAATATGGTTGCTTCAGCCCGGCCCCACTAACAAATTCAACTAAGGCGGCAGGGGGATAGTGTGCACAGGCAAACAGTGCAGTAAAACAGGCAGTATGAGTGACAGGTTACAGTACTATTCAGTCTCTGGAGCGAAGCCAGAGACTCTCCTATGGAACCTCTCTGTGCTTTTAACACTGTTGCAGAGCTTCAGGGAATTCTAATTGTATAAATAGTTATGGGGAAATGAGACAAAGAGCAAACCTATGTCAAATCAGTGGTGCACAAGATGCATATATTTTAGCATTAGCTATTTAGAATATGAATTTCTGGACTAGCAACACAGACACATTTACCAAAATTTACCAAAATTAGCTAGTTCCTTTTTTTATTTTCAGTCTGATTATACAACCAGTTTCCCAAAGCTAAAGCATGTACAGTAGATTACTTTCCCCTGTATTCCAGTTAGGTGTTTGTTTTTTAAAACAAGACATATTCTCCAACAGCTATAATATGAATAAAATCCTAACGCTTTAAAAATCTGCCCTTCACACAAGCCTAACGATACATATTTAAATGATTTATTGTACACCTTCATGTTTTTTTTAAGGCATGGACAATGGCATATGAATGGGAACAGCTTCCAGAAAAGCATTATGTCTTTTTTACAAGGCCTGCCTAAGCACATCACATCAAAGGACTAACCTGAAGTCAGAAATGAGAGACTGTTGTGACTCGAGAATTTTACCAAAATAAGTTACAACAAAATGGATTTTTTCTTTTTCTTCCCTTATTTCCTTTCTTTTTCAACCCCCTCCCCACACTGCCCCATCCCATCCCCCATTATTCTTAACTTCTTTTTAAAGCACCGGTTGCAGTTTTGTGTTGTACTATTACTTCAGAATGACTATGGATAATTTATCTGCTTCTTCTGTTCTTCATTTTCAGCGTATGAACATTACAAGTTTTTTTTGTCTTTTTTTGTTTGCTTGTTTTTTTGTGTGTTTTTTTAATGGCTGCTGCAAAATTAAAAGGATCCAAAAGTGGTCAGGGGCCTGATCTAATGCACTTTTGAAAGTCCTTTATAAAGGAGAATATAAAAAGCAAATGGTAGGTTTTGTGTAGACCCACAAACCACACTTAGCTATAAGAAACATATTGTGCATAGTTATTTTTTTCTTCAGAGAGTGATATGTTTACCAGATCTACATTCTCAGTTTACCAGAGTACTGGGGTTTCTATTTTACTAAAGCCAGGATCCTTTCGTAGTTCCCAATAGGTGTCATTAGAAACCCAGGCTTCTCTTTGATTGGCATCGTTAACTTTTCTGCAAAAGGTAAAAAAAAACAACAACAAGAAAACAGACAAAAATAAAAGAAGATGCAAAAGGTCTTAATAAAAATGACTTCATATTTTAAAAGAACAAAGAAAAACAATCTTTTGCCTGTCTTAAAAGTGAAAGATTGTTAAAACATCCTAAAGGTCCAATCCCATCATATGAGTCATGCAAGTGGACCCCTGCACCCATGTGAAGCCTTGCTGACTGAAACAAGATCCAGGATAGCATGGAGGGGATCCATTCAACCAGGTCTGGCTTCAGGCTCAGAGGTTTTCATCATTTATGCTGTTTATTTCATTTTTGCATTTTGCTTCTCTTCTACAATGAAATTGCACAAGGTGGTTTCATCACAGGGTTTGCATAAGCTAACATAAAGGCTCTTAATTTTGGCCTTCCCAGATTTGAGGGAAATAATTAAATTAAAAATCGCACCCCCACAAAAATTACAATTTAAAACTATCTTAAACGTTTTCTGTTCAATCTGTTTTACAATCTCTTTTTTCTGCTGCCATTTTTTTGCCATTTTATAGTTAAACAAACCAGAAAGATTATCTATATAGAAACTTGTATGGCTCTGGCCCATGTCTTTTGTGACTTATGGACAATTAAGGGGAATTCAACTGACAAGCCAGTCACTCTCATCAAGCCAGTCATTTGATAAATAGGCAAATTCCTTTACAATATGTTAAAATGTATCATACATGGAAAGTATACCCAAAGATTTTTCTCTATATGAAACGGCATCCCTATTTTCACTTCTTCATTGTATTATGCTAGGCCCTTCTGTCTTAACATGCAAATGTCCTCTTTGTTTTTCTCGTATGTTGATGGACTTACAGCAAGATTACTTATTACTAAAATGAATTTACTCACTTAAAAAATTTTGGTTTGTATTCAATGTTGTTTTCTTCCATGTACCGCCTTCTGCTTCTCTGCAGTTCCTCTATTCTCTGCTTATCAGCTGATGCTGCTTCTACATTTCCTTCTTCCAAAAATCTGTCCAGACAATAATAGATTTGTTAGCAGTTATATGTTGTTAGCTTCTATAATAGTATATTATGTAAAAACATTGTCATAATAAGGTTAAGCACAGAAAATAATGCCCATTGTAACTGAAAAGAATGGTGCAATTATAATCTATTTCCTTTTTTCAGCTCTAGGCACCTGGTTTAAGCCTTGGTCCAAAATATAAAAGTTTTTAATTTATACTTTTCTGAAATGCTGTCTCGTTGAGCAGAATTCAAAGTGCCACATTAAGCATCTAAATGGAACTTAGGCAGAGTCTACATGTCTGAATTCCAGAGAACAATTCAAAGTGGCACTGAATTATTTATTCACCACAAAAAGCATTTGGTGCCTCTATGCTGGACTGCAAAGTTACCAGCGTATCTACACAATATCTTAGTCCAGGGGTGCTCAACCTCCGTTTCTAAGGCCAAATCCAAATCCAGCTGTGGAAGCATGCCATCCAGTCTGCAGGAATCTCTATGGGTTGGGAAATTTGGCAGCAGGATTGCAGTGGAAGCTCCTTGGAGATGGATCCAGCCCCTTCCAAGCCACTGCTGCACAATAAGATCAGGGCCAGGCCCACACCCTGCTCATCTGGATTGACTTGGGCTGCTCCCTTCCCCTGCCCCCTCCCCATATGTCCAGATCAGGGCTGGGCCACTCTACTCCCATACCCTTCCCCACATCTGGATTGATTCCAGGCTGCTCCTCCCCCTCCCCACCTACCTATCCAGACTGAGGCCACTCTGGCCCCTTCCCACCTCCCCCATGCATCAGGATCAGAGTTGGGCTGCTCCCTGCCCCCCATTCCTCATGCCTGGATCTTGCACTGCCCCTTCCCCACACATCCAGATTAGGGCTGAGCCATCCCTCACTCTCCTGGATGGCCAGATCAAGGTTGGGCTGTGCATCCTCACCTGTGGCCAGATTGGGCCCCCACAGCACTGTTCTGGATCGAGTCTACCACCCGAATCTGGCACCCCTCATCCAGCCCATCGGGTGAAAAGCCTGGGCACCACTGGCTTAGTACATGACACCTCCTTGGACCAGGAGTATTCTCAGAAGTGATTCAGGTGGAGTGCTTAGGTTCACCACAGTACCTAACTTGTGCCTAAGCTCCATTTTGGCTTCAGGAGGTAAGCACCTAAGCTGTTCCAAAGTTTTTTTTATTGGTAGTCAGGAAAAAAAAACACGTCTAACAGCAGGTACCTGTGGGTGGACACTGTTTCCTTGCACTGGAGCAGGAAAAGACACTCCACAATGTGTCTTAGCTCATCCAAAGCAATTCTGCCTCTGCCATAAACATTTTTTATGACACTAGCATATCTGTCTTCTCCCTTTTTTCTGAACTCAGGAAGCATTTCCACTGTAGCATTATATGTTCTTTGATAGAAGAATCAACCAATGATCTGGCTCCTGGCACACATTCATTTAAAGGTGCCATGAGATCTGATCACCAGTCCCAACGATCGTGCCTTCTGCCATTCCACACATGCATAGCAGGAGGTGAGATTTTGGGATCAGGGATCATATCCAAGTTGCCAATGCAGAAGGAGCTCAGGATTATAATCCTGAGCTCCCCCTGCACTGGAAAACTGAAAACCAAGTGTCCACAGATCCAGGCCTGGAGCCAAATAATCAGCTACTTTTCGGCTCCAACCACAAGACCACACCAAAGTCTCAAAGTGACCCTGGTAGTCTGTGGCTGTGACCAACATTCAGCTGAACAGGTGGCAGCCCCAGACTGTACTGAGATCCCAAGTGAAGATCCTGCTGTAGTCCCATGGCCAGAGTGGACAATCAGCTGATTGTCTGCCCCTACCCTGCCAAGGGTTTAATTGAAGGTGCTATACTAAAAACATAATGTAGAAGATTTTTATGGCTAGTTTGCCATTGTATATCACTTTATATTTGTTGCACATGTAGCACATTAACACATTAATCACCACATAAATGTAATACGTAGAGGGGACCTCTGAGACATAACACACCGTATAGTGCAGATCTGGACAAAATTCAATACTGGTTTCAAACTCTTCCCTTTAGTAGTCAGATATACTAAATATTTAAATGAGCTTTCTTGCCTTTGATCTGGCCTAAATCGTGCATCTGTTGCTGGAAGAAGATCTTTTAATACAGGATCTAACTCATTGAGCTCAGTAGCAAACCTTGTAAAGCCATAATAACGTTCATAGTTCGTTGGCATGGAGCCTGTATGAATACATGTAAGAAAGAAATATGCTTGTTTTACTATTGTTATAAACATACACACAGGGCCTCATGAATTTTACAAAGCTACAAATCCAGTAAAATATTTATGTATTCTAATACTTTTAAGTAAAATTAACATGCATCTAATATTATTTCCTATGAGGAACATATTTTACTTAATATTAATGTTGATAAGATTATACAAGCTTTATTTACATGACAGATCCAAGACTTTTTAAATCTTCCTTTGCTTTTGTGAAACCTCTGAGATGTTTTCATTCAAGATGAGCACTCTTGCCTCTTTCCAGAAAAGCATCATTTATAGAATGATTACATTAAAGCAGGGGCAGGCAAAATATGGCTCACTGGCTGGATCCGACCTGCCAAGCACTTTCATTCAGCCTGCAGGTTTGCTCCATAAATTGTGCCCCACCCAGCCCTTCTGCCCACGAGGGTGGAAGAGAGCCACCCATGTGTACACCTATCCCCTAAACATACCCTACTGCCTTGCTCCCACCCTTGTGGGCTGAAGGGCCCTGCCCAGCCAGCATGCAGCTTCTAGGCAGAGCTGCTACTGCTGCAGCCCCCAGGTACCTGCTCCACTTCCCCAGTCTCCTGCAGGCTCCAGGCAGCACGTAGGGAAGCAGCAGGGCCTGGTATGTAGCGGTAGGGAGCCTGGAGTGTGGGGCTGGCAGCAGCGCAGAGTCCGCGCTTGGGGGGGCAGCAGCAACACGGAGCTGGGGTGGGCAACATGTGGGTGTGAGGGAGGGTGGGGGGTGTGGGGACCCCACCCACACTCCCTCCATGGGGCAGCAGCAGTAGGTGGGGTGCTCAGGGTGCAGCTGCCCAGTGGAGCATGGCTCCGGCCAGCACTGCACACTGGGGCAAGGGGTGCAGCTTTCCCCGAGCTGTCTGTATTGCCGGTGCTCCCTGCCACTCACATGCAGCTCCTGCACTCACTAGGCACAGGAACAGAAGCCACATGTGCTGGACCCAGGTGCCTTCCCTGTCAGGGCTGGGGCTTCCCCTCCTGCAGCACAGTCCCAGCAGGGAAGGCAATGGTCTCCAGCAGAGACCACGAGCAATAGACGGCCCATGGGAGGCTGTACCCTTTGCTGTAATGTGCAGCGCTGGCCAGAGCCATGCCCCACCAAGCGCCTGTGCCCCAAGTGCCCTGTGTGCTGCTGCACCATGGGGGTGGGGGATCCCCACACCACCCCCCTCTCACATCTATAACCCCCCACATATACACAACCCCCCCACACACCCACATTCTACCACACACACAGAGCCACATACTCCCATACACACACACAAAACACCATACACCCCACCACACACACACATACACATACCACACAATATACAAAACTAAAAATTTATTTTTGAGTTATTATGCAATCACCTCTATAGACAGTACGCAAACACAAATCATGACAAAAACTACCCAACTGAGTTAGCAGTTTATCAGAATCTTCTTACCTGGCCTCCATATACACTTTGCTGAAGGTCCAACTCCACAATACAGTCCTTCGTGCCACTTTCCAAAGAGGCGATGCACAACCTTTCCTTCTTGGTCCATGATAACTCCTTGGACTTCGTTTGCATTTGAATTCCAATAATTTAACTGAAATGTAACAAAGCAAAGGATTACTGATTGATTTCCTCATCATATTGTATTACATTATTTTAAAATACAGTTATTCTAAATATTATTGTATGTGGATATTCAGAGAGTACATCTCCAAGAGAAACAAAAAATTAAAGTTTTTTTTTCCTTCAAAGCCAAAATATGAATGAGGATGCAACATATTTGAACTTTTCTTTCCAAAATTATCAACAAACTTGTAAAAGAATTGTCTAGAGACCTGGTAGAGGTCTATAAAGTTTGAAGTATAAATTTGAAGGGCAGGGATTTTGCATGGTAGGTCCTTGTAGAGCACAAGTCATGATTACTGGCACTTATATTAACATTTAATTCAAATACGTCCTAGTTGCACTGGAACACAGGAAAGAAAAAGGTTTTCTGTGACACTACAATTCTACATGCTTGATTTCTAAAACTAAGGAAAACAAAAAGCTCTCTCAAACTTTTTAGCTGGTGGATTACAAAGAAAAATATTTAATTTACATTATTTTCTATACAGAAAAAATGCACGTATAAAATTAAAATGCATACATATTGCAAATATCTCTTATCTATTACTGAAGAGATTCCATATTTCGCATCAAATCTGTCATTTCTCAGTTTACTGTCAATCTTCATAAATGTTGAAAACTTAACATATGAATACTGAGTACTTTGGCAGAAGTATGTTATTACATGGCTTTCATGAGAACAGTTATCTGCTGTGCTGTAAAAAGGTTTGATTATCCTCATTAAACTGTCTACACATATAAGCACCAGACAGCCTCTTTGCCAGGTGGCTTTCTGCATCTTTTTGGCATCCAAACACCCCATGACAACTGAAGGATGAGCTTCAAGTGTTTTTTCTCTTCCTAGATGCCCCAGTTTCTGATTAATTCCAGTTGATAATATGGAGGAACTCTTGTGCCAAGTCCAGTAAACTACACATGGAAGGTGGAGTAGTTCCATCCATAATACCCTGCATTTGCTTTTCTTGATCCTCTTCTCAAACATTTCTGTTCGTTACACCTTTATTTCTGGGCCAACTGTCCAATTTGCAAAACAAGCATTAATGAGTCACTGATAACTTTGAAATGGGCCTTTTGCACTTGCGTGTCTTCATACCACTGAAAATATATCCTTTATTTCCATTATTTTTAGGAGACAATTGAGCTTTAAAAAAATCAATCTAGAGTTCTATTTCATATATGCCTATCATCAAGACATTTGTATACAATAAAAGAAAGCACCACTGTTTTATGAGATAACATAATCAGAGAAATTCTAATCCTGGTTAAACTAGTTTGACACTGGATTAACTACAATGAAGTCCACAGAGTTGTTCCTGATATTCATGTTATTTAATAAAGCAGAATGTGGCCATTCATAACATTTAAAATAAAAAAGAGGGATAGGTAGGTGGGTGGAAAGACAGACAGACAAACATTTTACTGTTGTATCACAGAAAGTTACCTTGACAAATGTGAGTTTACAAATACAAATACTGCTTTTTGTGTTTCTGATAGTTATTTCTCCATAATGTTCTATCCATCTCCTTCCACTAAGGATGTTATGTATGCAGGTTGTGACTTTGTTCCATGCATAGTGATCTCCATACCTAAGGATAAAGTTATGAAGTAAATGGAAATGAAAATTAAGTGCAACATTATTGACGAAGTGAAATTCAGCCATATCATCATATAAAAAATATCCCTCAAAAATGTTTGAAACAGTAAGTTGCTCACTGTAATTACAGCTTCCATTCTAATTATGACTATTATTTCCTAATGCTAACCCTGAATCGGTTCATATGGGTGACATTCACCCCCAATGCAGCGGTCCAGTGAGCCATGAATGCCCTGCACTGTGTGAATTCTCAAAATGTTGGCCACTTTGTCCCTAATCAATTACTTCAATAGGATTTACTAAAACATTATACTGTATTGGGGCTATAGTTACAATATATTGCTCTCAGATGCAATGGGAGCAAATAAGAAAAATGAATCAGAAATGGAAAAGGAAAGTGGACAACAATAGATTAGTGGCATATTGCTCCCAACAGTATTAAGAGGAGAACCACTTGCAAGTCAACAGACGCAATTCTTCTGCTCTATTTAGCCCTGGTGACAGACACCTCACCTAAAGTACTTTGCCCTGTTTGAACACTGCACTTTATGAAGGACAAATTAGAATACATCCAACAAAGAACAACAAACATGAATAGAGGTTTGAGAAACATGGTTTTTAAGGAAAGGCTGAGACTATTTAGTTGGGAGAAGAGAAGACTGAGGGGCGATTTGATAACAGTCTTCAAATACCCCAGTGATACTTATAAAGATAATGGTGATAGATTATTCTGTTTGTCCAGAGGCAAGGGTGGATCCAGGATTTCCTAGAGGGGGTGCAGGAGCAGCAACCCACATTGCAGGGGTGGCTGCATCCCCTGCTCCCAGCTTCCTTCACTCCCAAAAGTGCAAGCAGATTGCTCAGAGGAAGCCTCTGGGGACTTCTAAAAGTCCCTAAAGCACATGAAAATCCTTCCTCCCTTCTTCTTCCAGCTCAGAGGCACACTCCCCTCCTCTTCCCTCACTTCCCCTGACTCCCATTGCTGTTTTCTCCATTGTTTTGGGGGAGGAAGCTCCAGAGACAGTAGGGCTGAGCCAGGGGCTGGCTCAGCTGGGAAGGGGACAACAGAAACAGGGTGGTGGGAGAGTATTTCCTGACACCCTCCCTAGCCATCTGTCCATCCCTGCTGCTATTGTCCCCATCCCCAGCTCAAAGAAGGCAGGAACAGCTCTAGTGCTTCCCCACCCTCGGGAGAGCAGAAAAAGGCAGTGGAGGGAGGAAATGGAGGGTGCAGAGGGCTGGTGAGAGGGGATGCCTTTGGGCAAGAAGGGGAAGGGAGAGGATTTTTACCCACTTTCGGGACTTTAAAAAGTCCCTGGAGGCTCCTATGGTGTAGTGCAATCCAAGGGGGATACAGCTGTGCCACAGCACCCCCTCTGGATCCACCCCTGCCCACAAGGGACAGAACAAGGTGCAATGGTTTAAACTGTGGTAAAAGGGTGGATATTAGGAAGAACTTTCCACTATGAAGGTGGTTAAGTATTAGAACTGGCTCCCCAGAGAGGTTGTAGAATCTCCATCCTTGGTAATTTTTAAAATCAGGTTAGACAAACACTTGGCTGCACTGATTTAATCATGGATGATCATGACTTGAGCAGAAGGGATGGACCAAATCACTGAGGGCCACCCTTTTTGGCAGGTGTGCCACAAATTAAGGCCTGTATTCTCCTCGTATGCCACCCCAAGTTAGACAGCTTCCAGAGGTCCCTTCCAGTCCTACTTCAGCACGATTTTAACTCTTATACCATGGGAGATTTGAGCAGGGAGTTAAAATCTTGCCTGTTACTATGTTTCTGAGGTCTGTACACTTAATTACAAACCATTCAGATGGAAGCAGTATAACCCAACATTAAAAATGAAGTCAAAGAATAGAAAGCACAGTACACAAACAAAGGAAACGAGACAGTAGCTTACTTTGGGAGAGTCACATTCAGTGCTCCAACTGGAAGAATTTCCATCGATTTCCCCCAGAACTTATTTTTCCATCTGATATCTAAATGAGAGTGAAAACTTTAGAAAATTACAAAAAAACCCAACCTTTATTTGCATTGATTTATGGTGTACCACATACATCTATGCTAGACCTGTTTTGAACAGAACACTGGCCTGATCTGGAGAAAAGGGTTATACCAGATAAAAATCAGTTCTCCAACCAGTCAGAGAAGCTAATACAGAAAAGCTAACACAGGTCTTAAAGTTTTTACACAAATAACACTGGCAATTATAATAATGCATCAGCTCATTTTAACACAAAGTGAAACACTTCAATACAACAGTCAGCACCAACTTAACATTAAAAACAACCCACATCTCAAGTCCCAGATGGAAAATGCACTAACATTTTTAGATGATAATCTTTATTTATATAAAATTGGATCTTTGTCCTTTGAATTACAATATTTACCTTGCCAAAACACAAAATTCTTTGATTCACAGTGACAGGCAGAAATGGGTGGATGGTGGCTAACCTGGAAAAAAAAATGGAGGTGAAGAGTGGTTTAACACATATACAAAAAAGCTTTAGAATCAATACAACTACTAGTTATGTAAAAGTGAAAACTAGAGGTGCACCGATAGAGATGTTTTGGGTTGATACTGACAGCTGATTTTTAAAGAGGCTTATCAGCCAATACTGATCCGATTTCCAACATGCAGTGCGGCAGTAAGTCTGTTATGGTGGAAAGGGAGAAAGGAGGGAAGAGGGGGGCAGACTGAGTCCCCTGTGGTGAAGGAGGGAGTAGGGCTGGGGCTGGGGCAGACACTGCCCAACCAGGGTGAGGCAAGGCATGGGACAAAGCTGGCTCATCCAGGTGGTATGGGGAGAGGGGGGCCGCTCCCGCTGCTGCATGCACCCTGGGAAGGTATGGGGGTATGCCCCTGGTTCTGTGTGGGGCCAGGGCGGGGCAGGCTACCGCTGTGGGCTGGGGCCTGGGCAGTGCAAGGCTTTTCCCAGCGGAGGCTGGGCCAGTGCTGAGAGGGGGGCTACAGGAAGGGCTGCAGCCACTCCAAAATTCACCATAGCCTCCCCAACCTCCTCTCCCAATGCTGCTGCCCACCTCATCCTGAGCACACCCTGGCCCACACCCTGCTTCAGCCCCAGCCCACAGCAGCAGCCCACCGCACACCAGCCCCATGCAGATCTGGGGGCACATGCTCCCCATACCCTCCAGGTGTGTGCACAGCTGCAGGAGCAGACCCCACCCCCCATGCCACCCAGACAAGCTGTGGCTCCATCCCACATCCTGTCCCACTCCGGCTGGGCAGTGCCTGCCCCAGCCCCAATCCCTCCCTCACCACAGGGACCTCAATCTGCCCCCCAGTACACTTCCCTCCGCCCTCCCCTTCCACCACAACAGATTTACCAGCTGGACGCAGCTCTCCAAGCTGCCAGGATGTGCTCCTCGACACCTATGTGCTGTGGCTGCAGCTGTGCGTATGCACGGGGCATTTACTGGCCAATTTCAGATACAATTTTCTTTATACCGGTGCTGATCCAATATTGGACCAATGCATTAGTGCACTTCTAGTAAAAACTGTTCAATATTGTATATTTTTAGAAGAAACAACTAAACAAAGAACCTCAACATGATATTCTGACACTTTAAAGGAGATAGTTTATATGAATCCCTTTTGCTATACACATACATGTATATGTATTACACATACATATTTATACATGTACTGGCATTCAGTAAGTTTCACAGTAGCAAACTTTCACTAAAAAATTAGGTCACTTTTGTAAAGAAATCAAAATCTATTTCTAAACTTTCTTTAGCAGTTACTTAGAAATAGATATTACCTGCTCTGAAAAAAATCGAAATCCTTTATCTTCTCTAATACATTCATATGTCTCACCAAGCACTGGATTAAATGGCTTGCTTCCTGCTCTGAAGTAAGTGGAGGCATATCCGGAAGCTGCAAAGGCAGCTATAAGAACCTGTTAAAGAAAACAAAGAAGAGAAAATAATTGAAGATCCTTTAAGGTGTTCTCCTACATTGTTTAGGCATCAATGTGAATAATTTTTCCATTTAAAAGTACTTAATTTCCCTTTCATTTGTAAACTATTTTAAGAGTTACATATTGATAGAAAGCTGTCAATGTACCTAAAAGTAATGGAGGGGGAAAAAAAGCCTGCAGCTTTCTATTTTCATGGTTTCTGGGCACCATACAAAATGTAAAACAATACAAAAGAATCAGGCTTCTTTCCTTAGCACTTGTTTAATAGCAGAAATTACGTTAGCTGACCTCTTCTGTACCAGTACTGTGACTTTTTGGTCGGCACCTATAAAAAGACTCATCTGAAAGTATTCAAGGCAACGTTTTGCTTGTATAATATGATAATTTAATTACAGATATCACACTAGACAGCAGAATAAGTTGCATCTGTTATCTTCTTTTTAAGATGTATAACAATGACAACTGCTTTATCCAAAAATCCATTTTGAACTCGCTCGAGCCTGGATGAAGAATTGTTTTTTAGCATGCAGACCTTCTCTGTCAAGCAGGGACATTAGAAGATCCTATGCCAGGTTAATCGAAAACTTCACAGCTATAGCCTTGTCTGCCAGAAAGACATCAATAGTATTACTCTCTCCTTCCTAGTTTCTGTATGTTCTTGAGAAGTAGTGACTGCAGTAGGAAGGCACAGAGCACAGATACTGCTTGTGTGCAACCAGGTTGGAGTGTTGCTGTAGACATGATGGTCCAGGATATGTATTCTTTTGTTTTTTGTGATATCTTTCATTTGGACCAACTGTATAGTTGGGGGAGAGAGAGCAAGACTTTGGGAACCATAATGTCATCAGTACCCAGATGATTTATTTGAAGTCTCTTGGCTTTCTAATCCTTGGAGAGACAGTCTCACCAAAGTCCTGTGTGAGATTCCACATGGTAATCCTGGGAAGAATAAGTGAAAATCTGAGCCCTCGCATATGTGAAGTTGTGCTGTACTAAACTCCTTACCATGCGTTCATAGGGATCATCTGTTTCAGCAGCCTTGTCCAAGAGTTCACTGTATTCTAGTTCTTCACAAAGATGTTGCAAAGTATTGAGAGGTTCATTTAGCTCAACTGGCATGGACACTTTGGAGAGATCTTTACCAATATTATTTCTTAAAATATTCCACAGATTGATGTTACTGGTATCAGGACTGGGAGCTGGAAGACAAGTCCGTCGTCCATTCCTGAAGGCGCCTCCTGTCAGCTCACCATTGAGAACTGGAGGGAAAGTATATTACTGCATTGAAATTGCCTTTTGAAAATAGTAAAATTCATTCATGGGACCAAAGTCACCACTGATGTAAGCAGATGCAATCTCACTGTTATCAGCTGAGCTGCGTTTGCTTACACCTTGGGTAAATTTGGTTCATGATATAAAACAACATCAATTATTAGTCTTTTAAAAATATAGTGTTTACTTTGTCGGGATATGTTGTCAGCAACACTGGTATTGTCCTCAGATATGTTATCACTCACATCACTGATGTAAGATTCATCATCAGAAGCCTAAGGAAGAAAATAAATAAATAATATCTAGTGTATGGTAAACACACAAGTTAGGCAAGAATATAATTAGAAAACCAAACATTCAAAGAAAGCATCTCCAGCTTGGCAGATTTAAAACTAGATCTACCATCTGTATTTCAGTTTGCACGTATAAAGAAACAAGCTCTAATAGCATAAAAAGAAGTGTTATATTCACTTTATTTTCCTGAATTCCAAATAATATAGACAAAAACCATTCAAACTCATCTTACCTAATACTCCAGATTAGATTCCCTCTTTACCCTCAGTTGGTCTGAGTCAAATCCCATTGAATTTCCCCCAGAGCAAGGATGGAGAGAAGAAATCCATGGCAGATGTTAGCCATGTTACTTAATGAATTACTAACAAGGAGCAAAAAATGCTGAAGGGATGACTAATTTAAGAATGTATAAAAGATAAGAGAATAAAAGCTCATTAACTTCAGTGGGATTCAGTTCAAGCCAACCAGGCAAAGAGAGAGAAAACACCAATACACTTCATTTACACTTGTGTATGTGCCTCTCTCTCAAACTTCTACAACAACTTTCTCTTATGGTATGGACAGCCATACCTTTTAATCACTCTGAAAATGGAAAGATGCCGCTCAGGAGCATGCAAAAAACTCTTAGGTCCATGATACAAGCTGGGTAAATCACTGTAACTTTAAACCTGAACCAAACCAAGTTAAAGCTGTAACAATTTTGTTACATTTGTAGCACTCAGAATCATGAAGATGTAACAGTTACATCATAACAGCTTACATCAGTGCTATTTTTCATGTCTGTTTATACTCCTATCTGAATCCCTGAAACTTCTGATACACAGCAACAAGGTCTGGAATTTGCTTTCCCTGTTAAACCATCACAGCCCAAATGTGTTGACTTTAAGAGCAAAGAGCAACTTATTCACTCCATTTTTTTTTTTTTTTTTTTTTTACCTGAAATGATCAATCTTATGGAATCAAATGTGTTTTGGGAGCTTTGTTTTCATTTAATTTGACATTAGAATAAAGTGTTTTTTTTTCAATGTAACATGCAGTTACTAAGAGTTTTTTACCCTGGTAGATTCTGTGCACTGAAAAAAATGAACACAAAAGAATTACTTCTGTCTTTTTAAATACCTATTGTTAACAACATGTGGATGATCACAGGAACTTTAAAATCAACACTTTACTCCAATTCATAAATTATTTGATCCAAGATTTTTTCTTTCATTTTAAATCACCAAAGTTGCTGTTTCAGGGCTACTGTGCTTCCTGCATACACTTGTGCATTAGAAATGACTTTTATATCTTCACTGAATTGATAAACACTAGTCCTTTTAGCAGGAAAGAGGTGCAAAGAGGTGATATTAGATTAATATATATGTAATGTTTTCTGTTTTAACACCGGAACAGAACTCGCCTATTTTATTCTAGTGACTTTTATTTTCTGACTCTCATGAACATGCACAATACTGTGCAGTTTGCACTGCAAACACAACAGGAGAATGTTAACATTTTAAAAAAAGGATATGTAAGACTCGATTCTACAGGGCTGCTCTGCAAGAAGACCTGCAAAAGCAAGAGCTGTAGCTACTGCAAGGAAGGTGTTGTAATGTTTTAAATTGATTCAAATTATTAATTTTGGGTTCAAGGTAGCAGCTATGGAAGCATCCACCTCAGGGAATTTGCCTGAAAGAAGGACTTGATAGAAAAGGATATTGATGCTCTTCATCAATGTGAATGCAAACTGTAGTGTTGAGGAGGTCACTAACATGTTATTTAGAAAGTTAAGTGTTTCAATTACGAGTTCTGCAAGGGCACTTACAGAAGGGTGCAATTAGCAACACATGATTGTTCAAGAAGACAGCAGAAAAATTAGAGAAAAACTGGATAGCACAAACAAAAGACACACATAATAAGTTCCACATGTCACTTATACAAGAGGTAGTGAATTCTGCATTGCAAACCCACAGAATTCAATGTCAAAGTCCTGTTCAAGCAAATGAAAAAACTGGAGTTGGAGATTGTAGCATTATTCTTAACTGTACTTAACTGCTTAAATTTGGAGCTCAAATGAGTGCCCAGGTCAGATTTTTCCCTCAAATGAGTTATCATCTTAAATCAATGATCTTTTCCTTTAAATTCAGTTTCACAGATTTCATAGACATTAGGGCTGGAAGGGACCTTGGAAGATCATCGAGTCCAGCCCCCTGCCCAAAGGGCAGGAAGTCAGCTGGGGTCATAGGATGTTCCCTCAGATCCTGGTGGGGTCCTATGACCCTCAGATCCAGCTGGGGTCATAGGACGTTCCCTCAGATCCTGGTGGTCACCCCTGATAAACTTATAGGTGGCCATCAGATCACCCCTGAGCCTGCACTTTTCCAGGCTAAAGAGCCCCATGGCTCTCAGCCTGTCATTGTAAGGTCTGTTTTCCTGACCTCTGATCATGCGTGTGGGCTCTTCTCTGGATTCTCTCAAGCTTCTCCACAACCTTTTTGAATTGTGGAGCCCAAAACTGGACGCAGTACTCCAGCTGTGGCCTCACCAAGGCCGAGTACAAAGGGAGAATGACGTCCCGGAATTTCCTTGAGAAGCATCTATGGATGCAAGCCAGCATTTTGGTCGCTTTACTAGCTGCAGCATCACATTGCAGGCTCATGTTCATCTTGTGATTTTCTAATAAGGACATACAACAAAATGTACTGTACTACTTACTACACAATGATTCAAACTTTCCATGGTGCTCTCCATGAATTTCTCTGCCACAGACAGAAACATTTCCTAATTAGGCTGAAAATGTCATTTGGCAGTTGTTGTTTTCTGCTACTTGGTCTCAGAAGATTGCCAACTAGAAGGACATGACCCACTACAATGACCTACCTCATTTTCTGAAGAGCTTGCTGATATAAGTACTTCCTGTGCATCAAAGAATTCAGAGACAGATTCAGACATAGAGAGCCTGCTCTCATTGGAAACTTGTTGGTTCAATGGGAGACTGACATGGATTTGTTCACCGGTCTGTAAACAAAATAAACACAGGGATATAAGATGTTATTTCTAGTTGAACAGAACTATAAATCAGAAAGAGAAAGTTTAGAAAAAATTACCAGAAAGACTTTTTACTTGCGCCAACATTTCCCTAGATACTTGAGTACAGTTAACAAAAGAGACTGGGACTATTACACAATTAAATACAATCTGAATAATTACACAGCTGTAAAAATATGTTCCTTCATTTGAACCATATTCAGCAGTAGTTATATGCAAGCTTCAGCAATGTAAATACTCATGAATCTGGATACTGCATCTGAAGAGACACCTTTGTACAACTCAGTTATGCAGTTCCAAACCAGTCTCAACCATGAACTCCAGATAAAGAGATTCCTGGGAAGGAGAAATCTTTTACAATATATAATTTTTTCTCAGTACTGAAACTAGCTTTGATATACATACCAAAACAAAAAATCCTTACAAAATTGGCTAGTTATTTTTAATTATTATTCTCAAAGCAAGGCCTAATTTCTGTAGTGATAATCACTTGATGTGCAATTATGATCAGAAGAGTGAGTACAGAAGCTTCTTATTCCATGTGCTTATTCCCTGTGTATGCTTCAAATCTATTCATAATTGATGCCAAAACTGGAGCCAACAGAGCTAAAGGGAAGGAGTTAGTTATGACTTCAATCAAAACAACTGTATAATAAGGGACAGACTATTATCCATCATCAGAAAACCCATGATAGATGTAAAAACTATTCAAGATGTATGCCTTAAATCACTTCATACTGGGCAAGGAGAGTGTAAGGTGTTGCTTCACTATGGAAAGAATAAGAAGTCCTGTCCCAGACTCTTTGGAGACCTATTAAGATACATGTGGCCAACACAGTCTCTGAAGAAAAGCCCCACAACCCCTACTCCCCGGTCGTCTGGCACTAGGAGTCCTTTGAAGCCATGCTGCCAAGGCTTCCTTTACAATCAGTTGCCATCAAACTTCCTCTTAAAGGAGCTTTTCCCAGGCTGGAAAGACAGATTCTCCCATGTGACAAACTACAGAAGTGCATGTATGGTGTCCAGGACAAAAGCTTGCAGATTTGGGCCCACAAGCTGACTCCAAATTAAAATTCATGGCTTACAGCATTTGATCGCTTATCACCACAGAAGAAGCTAGTTTTAGTGCTGTTTTATGAACAAGCCATTAAAGTTTTAAGGTTTTTAATAAGCTAGGATTTTTTGGTTCTAATTAGTATAAGATAACAGAGCCTAAGACAGGCACTAAAATATCAAAATAAATGAAACATTAAATATTTATTTCTGTTCCTGAGTCAACTTGATTAAAAAATACTCTAGAGTGTATTTCCAGATGGGTAGCCTACCTTCTGTGGACACAAATGTTGCCTGCTCAATGAATTGCTGAAACAAGTCTGAATAGTTGGAAGTAAAGCCACTAACATTTCTGTATATTGTTATGGCTGTTGTTTTAGGGGGCTTTTTTGGCAGAAACTACCAAGTGCACACAGAGTATGGATTATATTATAGCATGATCAGGAGGATTCATATTCAGAGCCTTAAACCTTTACAATTCAGTGTAAGCAGGCCCCAGCTTACAAACTCAGTAGAATCAAATGCTTTTATACCAAAGCATGCAGAAATAACTAATGTCAATGATAACCAACAAAATAAAATAATAGGAGAAAAAGTCTCTGTTAAATGTTCACTCCAGACTATTGTGCCTTGAAACTGCTGCACACAGCATCTCCAGATTTCCACCATGCTGAACTCCTGTAAAATTCTATTTTTCCAAAAACAACAAGCAAAAATTAAGCAAATTTCCTCCCTTTTTAATTCTTGGGAAAAAAATTAGGAGGCAAATTGCATGTTAATTGAAATAGCTGACACACAAAAAAACCCAGGAGTTCTGAATGGAAATGACAGATACAAAACATGGCGAAATACACCCACTAGTAGCAGTGATGGACAGTGACAACATAAATTTATAACATATAACATAAATTTATAACCTACATTCAAATCTTCTCTTCTTGTAAGCCAAGGTGAATTGTCATTGATATAAATGCTCTTTGTTGACTGAGGACAGGGAAGCAGGAAGGATCAAATCTTGCAAAGGCTTAATACCACTATGATGCTTACTTTGGCTAGAAACTGACATTCAAGCAGCCAGAGCCTGAATTGATTCAGTCTTTGAAGTTTACTCTAACCCACCTAGATTGAACCAGGTTGCAACTAAAGAGATGTTCCCTCTGGACCGAAGAAATACAGGCACATGCCTGCAGCCACTCAGGCCAGGCGCCAGGGGTGCTAGAGCAGCCCTCAGCTGCAGGGAAGCTGTGCTGGGGGAGCGTGGTCAGGCCCGGCAGTAGCCTGAAGTGAACTGGCCAGGGTGGGGGTTGAATTAATACATGTCCCATGGACTCAAGCCAGGGTCCACCAGGCACTCCACCCTCACTGCTGCAGTGGCAGGGGCACAGCCAAATGCTGGCCAGCATGGCATGCTGAGGCAAAGGGGGCAGGGAGAGGGGTATTCCTGCCTCCACTCCCTCTGCCCGCAGTGGACTGCAGTGGGTTCTGCCCAATCGGATGGCCACTCACTCCCTGCATGGGGCAAGTGGCAGGATAAGCCCACTCCTGCCCACTCCGCCAGATGCCAGAGGGAGGGAGGAATAACTCCTCTCCCTGCCCCCCTGCCTAAGGGGCCATGCCAGCTGGACTCTGGTCGCGCCCAAGCCCTGGCACTGGAGCTGCAAGTGGGGAGTGACTATGGCCCCTGCCATGGTGTCTGGGGAGCACGAGCCTCTTTCCGGTGGGGGGCCCACAAGCGGGGGTCAGAGCTGCTGCAGACTGTGCTCGGAGGGGACCATAGCCCCCCAAACCCCGCCAGCACTGCTACTCCCCCCCCCGCACAGTCTGCAGCAGCTTTCCTCACCTTGAAGTTACAGCCCCCTGCTGGGAAGAGGCTTGCACTCCGGGACTCCATGACAGGGACTGCTGCCCCCTGTCACTGCTCCAGTGGCAGGGCAGGGGCAGGGCCAGAGCCTGGCAGGCACAAACCCTTGGGTGCAGGGGGAGCAGGCAGGGAGCGGGGTTCCCTCCTGCATCTGGCAGAGGGGGCAAGAGAGGGCTTATCTTGATATTTGCCCGATGCTTGGAGCAAGCAGCAGGAGTCAAGGCAGGCAGGCCCCATTGTGGTTGCCCGGGAGCAGAGGGGAGGAAAACCCAGCTCCCTGCCCTCTCCTCCCTCCTATGGGGCCATGCCAACCCTGCCCTGCCATTGCAGTAGTGAGGGGGGAGCAACCATGATGGGGGCAGCAGCCCCTGTCATGTTGTCCTGAGTGCAAGCCTCTTCCCAGTGGGGGGGCCATGCTGTGATGTGGGGAAAACTGCTGTGGACTGTGTTGGGGGAGTGGCAGGGCAGCAGCGCTAAGGGAATTTGGGGTGCTATGGCCCCCTCCAAGCCCTGGTGCCACCACTCACCCCTCACAGTCTGTGGCAGCTCAGACCCCCACTTGTGGCCCCCCCCCACCAGGAGGCTCATGCTCTCTTGGACACCATGGCAGGGGCTGATCTCCTGTCAGGGCCCTGCCCCCTCGCCACTGCAGTGGCAGGGCAGGGGTGCGACCAGAACCTGGTCAGCACAGCCCCTTAGGCGAGGGGGAGGGAGAGGAGTTATTTCTCCCTCCAGTGTCTGGCGGAGGCAGCAGGAAGGGGCTCATCCCACCTCTTGCCCCATGCAGGGAGCGAGCAGCGGCGGCAGTTGGGGCAGACAGACCCCATTGTGGTCTGCCAGGGGCAGAAGGAGGAATAACCTTCCTCCCTACCCTGCCCTCCAAGGGGGCCATGCTGGCTGGCGTCTGGCCATGGCCCTGTGGCTGCAGCAGTGAATGGGGAGTGCCAGATGGACCTCAGCTTCAGACCATGGGACAGGGATGGGGGAATTAAACCCCCACACTGGCCAGTTCATACCAGACCACTGCCAGGGCTGGCCACACCCCCACTGCTGGTGTAGCCAGTGGAGAAACGCAGGTCTGTGTTGGTGGGACAGGGGAGGGAGGGGGGAAATGAACCTCTTCCCTGCTCCCTTCAAGGGCCAGAGTCTGGCCAGGCCCCCACCCCTGCCTGTCCCCACTATGACTGGAGAGCAGAGGGGCGGGACCAGCCCTGTTCCGCTGCAGCAGAGGGCACAGCCCAGAGAGCATGCTGGGGGCTCTGGTTTAACTTAAACCAGGAAGGGGTCTGGGACAGAAGCTGCATAAACCGGTTTGAGCTTAATCAGTTAAGTCTGATACCACATTCAAGCAGGTTTATCTCAAACCAGTTTCAGCCATTTTGAAACTAATTTATGTGCACTGAAATTATGTTCTGTTACAGGTTTAAACCGGTATCCGATTACTTAAATCAGTTTATGTGTAATGTCTGCCCCTAGCCTTCGTAAAATGATCCTCCTGACTTCAATGGGGCCACTCAGTAGTAAGTACCAGGCCCTGTAAGCCCCCATACACTAAACTGTTTCTATTGCTTCTGCAAGAAACCAAGATACAGTAGTTTTCAGCTACTTGTCTGGTTATATACGAATACAATAGAACCTCACTAATTCCCACTTCAATAATCCACTCACCCAATAATTCATATTTAAAACCTGTGGTCTTTTCCTGTTTCTCTGCAGAGATTCAAGAGCAGAGCTCTCCAGTGAGATCTAACATTGGTAAAACTTCACTGACCTCACTAGTGAGTGATACTGTAGAATATATACTCCATACTTTTCATGTAGTCATGTGCTTTTCACTTACTTGTCTATTTTCAAGATTTAATAATTTGCAAAGGGTCTCTCAGTTACTAGTGAGAATTAGCAAGGTTTGATTGTACTCTAAATCCATGAAAGGCCAAAATCTTACCTCATCAGGACTAGGGATAATATTTACACTGACAACCTGATCACAAATAACAGACTCTGAATGTATTCTGTTCAAGCGACTCCTTAGTTCAGCATTCTGGTTGAGAGCCTTAAAATAAAAATTGGACATTTAATTTCAAATTAAAAAGCAAGCATAAAACAAAGCAAGCACAAAGTGTCTGAGCTATATATTTTCCAGAGATTTCCTAATGAATTACAGTATCTCCTTAGCTGTATTTTTATAAAACAATCTACTTGTAGATGTATTCAAACCATCAGGTATGCAATTTTTTACTTTATTTTTCTTTCTTTGTTTGAACCATGATTATTTTTTCATTAAAAAACAGTAATATTGTGCCCTTTCTAACATTTGCCTAGTTCAAAGCATTTGATAGAAATGTCAGTAGACTGCACATTTTGGAAAAAGGAAGTGAATGTAGTATGGAAGAATGAAACTGAATCACACTACTACAACGAAATCTCCAAATGCCAAAACAGGTAATGCTTATATTGCAGCTGAGGCACGTACTGAACTACCACTCTGAAGAGTCAGCCAAAGGAAACAGCAAACTCTCAAGCAAAAAGACAGAAAAGTTGTGTTGTGATAACATTTTCAATTTGTGCACAGTAAGTCACAGTTGCAAAACACACACAGAAGAAGACAAGGTGAGCAAAGTGCTTTACTGAAATACGTATAGACAGATTCTCACTCCACGGGGATTACAATCTAAATAGACAGTGAACGCGTCTACACGAGATGATACATAGCCATAGTGATGAGCTATGGTGACATAGCCTGTTACTATGGTGACATAGTGACAGTGAGCACAAATCATGACACAGCATCTAAAAATAACCGTGCACTGCTGGGACTATAACCGTGCAGTGGGTACTAAATCAAGTACTAAATGACTGCGCAGCATCAAATGTGCAGTCAGAGGCATGTATAGCTGTGCCTAGTAAGTAGACAAAGGGTGCGTCCAGATGAGTGCAGTTGTGCAGTATGTGGCACCACAAACATGTCTGCAGTGCCACATACTGCATAGTATGGTGTTCTGCAAGGGTGCATTGTCTAAGCATAGGCTGCTCCTGTTTTTTTTTCTGTGGAAAAAAATACCAGAGCAGCGCATGCTTGCGCAGCATGTGCTGATGAAAAGCAGAGCCAACCTGCCCAGAGCTGTACTGTGGCTGCCAGCCAGGCTCCACCCAGCAGGACTGCTGCAGCTGCAGCCCCGGGAGGCCCCCAGGACCCCAGGTAAGGCTCCTGGGGCTAGCACAATGCTGGTCCCAGCCTTCCCTACTGCTCCCGGGGTAACTTGCCATGTGCCAAAGTGCACGTGGCACGGGCACTCCCCAGGGACAAGTAGTGGTGGTACAACATGCACTGCCACTACTTGATCCCAGGGAACTAAGCGTCCATGCATGTCTGGATGCACCCAAAGAGTACATACAAACATTACATTTAGATTGCCCTAACCAAGCTTAGGGTGATCCTAAATGCCTCAGTATGCAAGCATTCATGAGGCTTAAGTCACCCAAAAAATGAAGTGCCGTATTTAAAGTTGATTCCTGTCAGATAACAGCTAACTTTGGATCAGTGTGGGTTACCCTGAGCTAGAGTGAGTTAACCTAACATAATGAATGTGTGCACACATCCCCAGCAAAACCCAGGGGCTGGGAAAGACCAGCCACTCTCCACAGCCTTGGGGCTATGCTTATTTCACTACTCCCCATCTCCCCCAAGGACCCTGACCAGACTATTTTCACCTCTGATTGGGCACCCCTGCCCAGATATGACTGTACCCCTCCCCAAACCCACCAGCACTTTCCCTCCCACTTGCCTCCAGCTGCCTGTGTGCCTCTTCCTTCAAACACTTACACATGGAGATCCTGACTCAGATTTAGGTGGCATAAACTAAGCTGCCTAAACCTGAGCTGGGTTCACATGCAAAGAGTAGCAGGATGAGATCCAACAGGAAACATGCAACTCATCAGGGGAGAACAACAGCAAATAGGTAGAGCCCTTTTCTCCCCAGCACCACCTGGGGTGACAAGGAACCACGGTAATAAGCTGATGGAGAATAAGTTTAGGTTGGCAATATTTTACAGTCAGGGTGGCCAAAATCTGGAACCAACTTCCCAGGGAAGTGGTCCTCACCCCTACTTGGGGCAAATTCAAGAGGAGGTTGGATGATCACCTGTCTGGGGTCTTGTGAACCCAGCATTCATTCCTGCCTGTTGCAGGGGGTCAGGCTAGATGATCTGTTCATCTGACCCTAGCTACTATGAAACTATGAATTTTGGTACTGTAATTCCATGATTTTTTGTTTAGTTTCCTTTCCATTCTCATCTCTTTTATTAACATTTCCTAAATGAGGATTAGGTTTAATAAGTTTCGTAGTAAGTATGTGCTTTAAGGATGAACTTACAGATTGAAAGGACAGCAAATATGGTGAAGGAAGATCCTCCCAAAGTAAGGGGCTATGGAAGAGGGGAGAGCAGGAGGAAACAAAGATAAGCTTAGCTGTGAAACATGAGTGGGGCAAAGGGGTGCTATTATTCCTTTTGTTTTATCTCAGCTCATCTGGGATATGTCTGAATCATTAACTTACTGCCTCAGGTGGTGTAATGCTGAAATGTTACGCTCCGCACACACTAACCCTGAATTGGTAGTAAGATAGCCTAACACTGACATGAAGGGAGATAATTAGTTAATTATCCCTGCTAAGAGATGGAGCTAATTACTACAAGCAGAGCACAGCATCAATGAGACTACACTACATTTAGCTTGGGAAACAACATGTCCAGAACAGTACAGATGTGTTAGCACTGCACTGTCTGATTCAATAATTTAACTGCATAGACGTGTTCCTGGTATATGAATCTGAGCTACTCTCTGGTGTCCCAAACGGAGGTCAATTTTTTCAGTAAGCACAATTTTTTCAAAAAAGATTCAATGGAATTTAAGTCATGCAACATTAGTACTAGTTGTATATGATTTGTTGCTATTGTTGTTTTCTATTTCCAACATTTTTGTTAAGCTGTAACTAAACAAAACAAAAGGAAAATACAGATATGTATATTTTAAAGGATCAAATGAATGATGGACTGTATTTTCTACAAGTTCCTACAAATGTGTTTTCCTTATAATGATAACTCCCAGGATCTCTTAACTAAAGCATATTAGCTCCTCATAATTAGTGTGTCAAATCTCTTGTGAACTGTGGGATATATGCTTTTAATTTTAACAGTGTTGCACTGAACAATGTTTGATATTTTAACATGGAGATCCATTTATCTCACAATTTTCAATGAATGCAGATTTACCAAAACATATTCCTTGTCCTGGACTTTGTACAACAGCAGCTGTTCTATAATATTACATCTCTTTGCACATTTTTGTCTCCTACAATGTCCCTTGTTTATGGCCTTGACAATTCCCTAACGCCTAAAACTCTAGTAAATGATCTCAATTTGTGCCTGTCTCATTGCACATTCAGCAAAAAACAACCACAAAACCCCACATCTAGACATCTCCACCAGCTCCTCATTTATTTCAATAATTATTTTAAAACTACTCACCTTATTACAAATAGCCCTATTCCAGCCTTCCTCAAATAACTTCTCTCATTGCTACTCTCCCATTCTATTTCCTTATCTAGAACTGGCTTCATCTCAGTTTCTACAGTACAGCATGGTCTGTTTGTATCTGTCTCAATTACTGTTTCTCATTTCAAATATCAGATAAAATATATATATATATATATTTCCTCTACTACCTGTACTTCTTGATTTCTTTCCCAGCAGGCTACACTTTTTTATTCCAGTTTTGTCCCCCCCCACTCCTCAAAACTGACTACTCAGATATGCATCAAAACAAGTTACAGTCATTCTTCTGAAACACCACTGTGGCCAACAAGAAAGATAAACTTTCAACTTGACTGTGGCCATGTCTGTCTCTGACACTATTCAATGATGACTGCTATTTTCTTATTAACAGTCAACAGACAACAAGAATCTCTTTCTGCACTGAAGTCAATAGGAATAGCATTGGAGTTAGCAATGTTAAGTACAATTCTCATTTAAAAAAAATCAGTGTATTTTAACTTAATTTGCAGCTCTTTTAAAATCACCAGCCAGCCTTCAAGACTTTCAAATAAGATAAATTATGCCCACTTTCCAACAAAATGCATCTCTCTGATCACTAGCCTTTTACCCTCACTCTTTTGGTTATTACTTTCACACTAGACCACAGATTCTAAAAATCTTATGGGACAGCTCCCCTCCACCAGTACCTAGGCTTCTTTTCACTGATCTAGCCAGAACCCTCCTTCCTATTTAGCAATATAAGAGCAGAGCTGCTATGACTCCCAGGCTAAGAACCCACATACTAAACTCCTTCTTTGCACCATGCAGACAGACCACATCTCTAGATCCATCAGAACTAGATTTCAGCTGTCCTCTGAAAAGTAATCTCATGAATGCACAGGGAAGAAAGGGAGAAACGTGTACAAATTCTAAACAGGATATGCAGGGTACTCATGTATTAGTGGAAGCTTCTGAATGTTATTTGACCAAACTGTATTTACTTGCGTATTAATATCAGGTTTATACACACACACACCCACTTTACGTAACAGTCAGCATTTAAACTTCATGCTTTTCTCATTAATTTCAAAGCAGTCTGTTTCTTCCTACCCTACTTTCTCTTGAGCCTTGCTTTCTACCAAGAAATTTGCAGTTTTCAAGGGGTAAAAAAAATATCAGACATCCACAATATCTGGAAACTTAAAGCATGAAGGCTTATTTTTTAATTAGTTGTATTTTTTTCTTACAATTTTTAGAATCATCTATGAAATTCCTGATACGCAGAAGGAGACTGTTTTCTTTAATGCTTCAACTGTATTATTCAAGCTGCCTCAGACTGTAATATTTGAAAATTTGTAAATATGATAAATAGCCCAGGTGCAAATTTGAGTAATGGTCATTAACAATGCTTTTGAAGTCAGCACTAGAGAATGCAGGGATATTGTCTGGAAAACAGAGAGGAAAAGGGATGTGTTAGATGCTGTTCTGAATTAATACTGAAGTTAATATTTAAGACACTTTCTATTGTTTTAACTGAAGATTTTGATTACTGCTAATGATAATTTGGGTTTGCAAAATAACTAACCCTCAGGTTAGGGTGGCAAGAGGTTTTCACCTTTCTCTGCAGCTTGGTGAATAGATCAGGTGGCATGTCTCACCTCACCAATTCCCTGCAAGGGCCCTGCAAAGGCACTGGTGATACAGTACTCTCCTGTTCTCTTGCCTGTGTCAAGTAACATTTTAGTCTCCAGAAAACTTAAATGCCTAAATCTACTTAAAGTTGTGAAGCTCAATACATGGGTATACAGCTAAAATGTAAAACCCTGAGAGATACAAGGGACCTAGATGATCCAATGATCCTCTCTAACCTTAAACTGTGTAAAATCAAGAAATTTCTGATCCTGACATAAAAGCCTGAAGGAGACACTGGGTGTATCTACACAAGTGGTTAGTACAGGGGTGGGCAAAATACAGCCGGGGGACCAGATCTGGCCCGCCAGGCCATTCTATCCGGCCTGCGGGCCCCCTCAAAAATTTAGAAAATTTGTATTGACTTGCTCCTGGCTGCCTGTCAAAGATGACAGGAGACAGGGGCAGTAGGACCCAGGGGAAGCCAGTGGCAGGACCCAGCAGTAAGTCCTGCCCAGCACCACCCCCACAACCAGAAACCCCTGCCTAACACCAGAGAGGGAAATGCAGCCCTTGACAGCTTGCCAAAACTCAGTAAGCGGCCCTCTGCCTGAAATAACTGCCCGCCCCTGGGTTAGTATGTAGCAATAAATTCCAGCGCTGGAGTTTATTGCTCCCAGGTGCAATGGTTATACATGTACCCTGGGACCACAGAACTTTGAGCCAGGGTGGAACAGCCCCAGCTGGAAGGGGGCCCCAGTGGTCAGCCTGTCAGCCCGGGACTGCTCCAGCCTGGCTCAACATGCTGCAGAGGGGCTGGCTGGGGCAAGAGGGTGCTACAGTATGGGGCTAGCCAGCAGGCAGCCCCCGCACTGTAGCACCCTCATGCCCCAGCCAGCCCTGTTCTCCTCTACATGTGCATTTCAGGGCTCATAACTACTCCGCTATAGGATAGTTCTTATCCCAGACAGTACTATCCTACAGAAGAGTTCATTAATTTACTGTGTCCTTATATGGGCACATGTGTAAACAGTGACACTTTACCGTTGAGCTAATTTGTCAGCTTCAAGGTAACATGCACATGTAGATGCATCCAATATGAAGGAATCCTTTTATAGAAGAGATTGTTGTTGAATATCTGGAAATTATCATTTTAAAAAGCTATATAAATTCCCTGTGGCTTGTAATTTGGCATATAACAGCACTTCAAAAAAATATTCATTGTCCAGGTTTCAAAGCAATGAAGACTTTTTGGGCATGCTGTGTCTGTCTGTTTTAGAAATGTTTTGCTGCCCTCCATGATAGTATCAGAGAACTCTGCCTGTTAATTACATTGCCAATAGACAAGCCTCTAGTGGATTTCAAGGGGTCTCAGTCTCTTCTTTCTTTTCAGGGGACAGAAAAACTTTGACTTTTTCAACCTAAGTGGGTATTTTTTTATGTATGGGTTTTCTGGAGCAAGGAGCAGGGAAGTGGGGGACAGCAGAGCCAGAAAGGAAGGGGAACAAGGCTTGTTCTGAATTCTGGTCATAGTGAAAAGCTGATGGTGGGCTTTCATTCTATCAATAGTGAGAACAACTGCCCTGACCTCCTGCATGACAAAAATAGAAGTACAAACAGTACCTGAAATGGAGCTATAAACAGAAAAATCACTGACACTGTTATACTAAGGGGAAACACAAGACAAATATACACACTCTTAGGATGCAAGGGGGCATATCTCCAAGTAAATAGCATTAAAATTAACAAGTGCATCCATATACCCTATTCAGACCAAACTGATATATTTGGAGTGTGCGTTCACTCTTATTCAAAGAATGCACTAATGCCAATGGAATTCAATTGACACCTAATATTTGTTATCATTTTTTAAGAATTAACCAAACCTAGTTTATATCTGTGCATACATATACATATTGCACATTCTATAAAAAGAGATATATACAAAAGGGTTAAATTCAGGGTTACAGCATTTTGTGTACTGCTGCCTCTTTTCCCACAACATGAATTGCTGGTTACTTAAGAGATGACCTGTCTATACATGTAAGAGATCACCACTAGGGATTGGAATCTGATTTCATTTCCATGTTCTCTCCACCAGCACCAGCCACAAGTTTACTCCTTTATGACTATGACTTTTAGATAGACGTCTATATTCTTTAAACTAAAATTACAGGCCATCAATCCATTTCACATTAAAAAAAACCCCTTTAAAAGTTGCAATTGGTTTGAGCTGGACATAGATCAGTGATCAAGAAAAGCAGCAGTTTCTCTACCTTCTCTTGTCTTCTTATCTTTATTTAGAACAATTACTTTATTATAGTTAGGAAATAACATGTAAATTTATGTAGATTATTTGCTTTTAAATTTACACATTCTTAAAAAACAAACAAACAAAAACCGAACAGATCTAATGCTCCCTGACAGTCCATTTCCCTTCAGACCAAGGGTAACAGCCAGAAAAGTCCTTCAAGGACTACCCAAAATATTATCAGGGCTCTCTGACCACGAATTCAAAGTGTGGGATTATTTTGCAACCTGAGAAATTATGTCAGAAGGAACTGGCTTTCCTATCCCTGCATTACAAAATGTAACCTGCTTTTAGAATGGTATTTTTGTTCAAGTGAAATGCCTAATAACCTGAGAAGAATTCAAGGTAAGATTTGTAATCAGTATTGGCCAAACTGTTGTCTTCTACTGAAGCCAATGTAAAGTTCCCTTTAATAGGAATAGAAGTTGGCCAACATAGAGTGTTTTTTTCAAAAATACTACCTTTAAGTTATACATGCAATGGGTGGTAATACTCAAACAATTACACCTTTTAATATTTGTTTATAGAAGGGCTTGAACTGCAGAAAGTCTAATCTCTGCATTTTAAAATATGTTGTCAATGATAATTTTTGCAGTTCAAATCATGAGTAACAGAACACAACTTAATGGTATTGTCATCAGTTTTAAATTCATTTAGGAAAACTGAAAAATCTCTTTGAATAGGCTGAAAATGACTTTAATTGTTTCTAATATTTATCTAGTACTTATATAAAATCTTATATTTTAGCTTTACATAGACAAACACAATGACAGTACAAAGGGAAGTAAACTTCAGCTTTTGCATCTAAATTTTTCTTTGCACACATTCAGGTTATTTCTGCATGCTAATATATTGTCAACAGAAGTCGTTTCAAAATAGGGAAGCAGGTTAAGCCTTTAGCACCACTATATTTTACTGGATAAGTACAATGAAAAAAATAATTGGCTGCAACATATAGAATTTTCCCTACCATCTCTGGAAGTGGCAAAACCTTAACAAAGATAAAAGGCATTTAGAACAACATACATTTGAAATAAAAGCAAGAGCATACCTGAGAAAGTGACTGTCGGAGATGTGCTATTTGTGCATTGTGGCCTGTAACATCCTGTTCTGAAACAATCTGTTTAAGCTTCTCCTTCTCTATAGCTATGCTGTTAAAGGCAGACTTCAAAAGAGAATGCACTGGGGAAAAGAAAAAATATTACTGAGATAGTGTTGCACATTACATGCAATATTTCAGTAATGGAAATTATAAGGCGGTACTAAGGAGCTGGCAGAGAAAGGGGTCAACCTTACCCAGAAGCTGGGAGAAAAGAACCCGCCCCCCCAAGTAATTAGCAGAACCTTCATCCCGTGATTATATAAAAAAGAAACTAAGGCCCAAATTTCCAAAAGTCTGCCGCAATGAATGTAAACTGGTTGTGGTTGGCATACATATAATGTGCATAAACACACTATTGTGGCTAGTATGTATGCATGTTGGTTGCGTGCAAAAATATACATTTTGGAAATGTTTTCTTTGTAAATGAATTAGTCTGTTTCCTAATTCTCCTACTGAAACAAAACAATAAGTATCCCAGTACCACAATGATTTAATACTGTATTAAAAAAAGGATTACTTTGATCTTGAATAGAACCTTTGATGATCTAACATTTGGAAGGGAGGGCATGGGTGCTATGTTTCTCCTCTTGTATGCAATGTAGAACACTGCAGTACAGAACACACATAACTGGAGTCGTGTAAAACTGCTGGCAGCATGGTTACTAGGCCTGTGTGAAGCGGCTAGTATTCGTTTCAGATTCGGTCGATTTGGGGTACAGTGATTCTATTTGGTGATTCGAATCACTGTCCCAATTCAATCTGGCTGAATCTGATTTGGAGATTTGACTGCTGCCAAATCTCCGATAGCCAGGCCAGGCCCATCCCCGGCCTGCTCTCCCAGCTGGCAATGGCTGCCGCGCCCGCCCCAGCTCCTGGCTCGTTAAAAAAAAAAAGCCCCGAATCAGTGGGTGCTGCCAGGTAGGGGGCGATCCTAGCTTCCCTGCACTGCCCCACGCTGCATGGGGGGCTCTGTATGAGCCCCCCAACCGCCCCCATGCTCCCTCAGCCCCCCCACGGGTGCCCTGCCTGGGTCAGCTAGGGTCCTTTAAGAAAAAAACCAAACCTAAGAAACCCCCCCCCCCGACTCACCATTCCTGCCAGCAGGGCAGGAGGGGGAGGGGGGCGATCCCTGCTGCCCCCCACTACCCCATGGAGGGCTCTGCAAGAGCCCCAGAAACCCTCAGGCCGCTGCAGGAGCAGAGA